AATGTATGACAACCTGAAATTGCGTTGATGGAATTCGGCATTCGTTATATTTTTTTATACAATAGTATTATGTTTCTTTTTATTCAGCCAACCGTGCAATCACATCGTTCTATTTGATTCGCCGACGATGCTCGATCGAACTGGAAGGTTGAAAAACCAATTTTCGAGCAATTTCGCTGGTCAGGTCGTTACGTTTAACTAGTCAATAAATGCGTTACGGCGTTCCACTGAACGGGGGAAAAAAATACATCGGCTAAATTAGCTAATACAATTTCAAGTCGACACATTGTGCAGTGTACACGCCATTACAAATTCACGTTCTGATGAAACGAAAATAAAGAAAAAAAAGAACCGATTCAGTCAACAATTGTCTTAATGAACATACGTACGTTCATTTAATTGGCGACAAAGAGTTGCATTCTCATTCTTTCTGTCTGCACGTATCCTCCTCGTGTTTGATCGTCGTGACGAGTTGAGGTCGCAATTAAACGGAAGTGCCCCGTGATTGGAGCTTCTCCGTTAATGAACATATCAAAGTTCAGTAATGCTACATCTGACGTTCACTTGTTTCTCTAAACTATTACTAGCTAGATTTCAATATATAATATTATAATTGTTAAATAAACTTGGTTTCACTGACAATATATTCATTGTTATATTGTAGCCATAGGTATGCTTGCTCTCATGTATAGCAAGAATTGATAAGAGAGGAACAGTATCACTTGATAATAACCAACAGTATTAATAATGTGACTAACTCGCATTAATCTTGTATAGTTGTACCTCCCTTGTCGCCGGCAAGCAGACCCTTGGTAATTAATGTATTCTAGCATTCTACCGCAGATTAAACAGTTGTTGACCATCGCATTAGGAACATACACGGACAGATGTGTGAAAGCGCTCGGGCAATTTTGAAATCGACCACCGATAAGCGAGCTAGGAGATCGATGATCGAGAATGATACTGTTGTGCCTGTCGAAAATCCCCGGCGAACCATACGAAATCCGCGGGATTCATGGGTCGTTTGTATCGAGCAATATTCCGCGGGCCACGGACGAATACATCCGTATAAAACACTTGCAGCGTGACGCAAATTAGCTAACCCGATCCCCTCGGCCCTCCTGTTATCCTCCGTACGCGTGAAATTTGCTCGCTTTACGGAACAAAACGAGCCCGTATAAATCCGCGTTGTATCTCGTTGACACGAGTACACATAGGCGTACAGTCACACGAGAATCGTCGGCTCGTGAAAAAAAATGTTCGCTGTTTTGTCAACGTCTCGGGGTTCTTAACTAAATTGCCTTAGCATTTTCAAACAGCCTACAACTGTAGAAGATGGTCGAGTTATTTATTAAATGATTAGGTGAAATAAAACTGTGATTAAAGTATTACTCCTCTTAAAGAATTTGTCTAAAGAACCTTTTTTCTTTCGATGTTGTCATAGAGGAATGAAACATCACAATGAATTATACATTCATATGAAAATCAAAGCTGGAATTTGCGAATAATCGTTTCGATATTGGCTTAAAATTGAGATTCGTTATCATTCGACATTCGGAATAATATTCGTGGAACGTTCTTTGTTAGCGACACTCGTCGGCGGTCGGCGATGGAAATTTTTCGTGGTGGGATGCCCGCCGTGGTAGACCACTCTTCCCTCTGGTACGGATATGAATTTCATATTTTACGATAATACCGTTGGATGTTCTTAAAGTAAACGAATCTTGGCCCGCCGCCGCAGTTTTCACGTAGTAGCTGGGAAGGAATCGTACCTCGCTCACGAATTCCGTGGAACGTCGTCGCCGGAACGACTTTTATATCGATTCCTATCCAAGCTCGCCGTTTCGTCCCGCCGTAAATATCGAATATTGAAAAAAGTCCGGATGCGACTTAAATCGTAATGCGCTGTTTCATCTCCATATTGGCCAGCGCATTGACTATCGATATTTAATTTCAGTCCTCTCGCTGAGAGTTAAACGAAACGCGCCCGCACGTTTTTCGTTTAAATCGTTTCATACGCACGGATCAATCAGCGCGAAAATAATATATTAATTGAGTTTCGTGATGTCAAAAATAATCTCGTTATCGGCCTTTTTAAGTACACGCGAGATAATATTGGTTTATTATTTGACAATAATTGGTTCGTAAAACATTCCCAGCGACTCCGTCGCACTTCTGGATGCGATCTTCTCGGAAAGAGCCTCTTTCAATTACGCTGGTAGTTTAATCGTGGCTGCTTAAATTTAATTTATAATATTTCTTGCACGCGGACTTTCATAAGTCTGGTTTACCTTCTACTTATAACTTACCCGCTTATTAGATTTACATGGTAACCGTTATTAACTTCCGTAATGACACTTTACATTATGTATTTAGAACGATTTACAGTATGAACTTCGTTGCGTTACTAACTATTACGTATCACACCGATGTTTCACCCGACTTCATCGGTACGTTATTCACAAACAAAATGGATTTTATAAAAAGTTTTGCCACAAAATCGTGTAAAGTAATATTGAAAATAGATATTTTTTAATTACTCGATACACGAACAAATCGGTTTGATTCTCGCGTTTCGAATACGAGCTGACACGAGTAAAATTTGCGTTTGCTTGATTGAAACGATTTCATCCCGTTTCCATTCTGGAATCCGATTCTAGCGGAAAATATGAAATCATGTTCGCAGTTTCTATACAAAACGGCGACGAGTAATAGTACGTATACGTATAGTTGTACAATAGATACATAGTAGGTCCGCATATAACCATAGAGAGGAATCAAGTCCGAGGATCATTTATAAACGGAGGGAAGATGTAACTGAAATTCGATTAATAGTTCAATCGTTCCATCGGTTTATCACCAACGAACTGAGAGGGTGTGCAGTTATTTCCCATCGATAGTGTCAAAATAAGAGATAAATACTATATCTTATATCGTGTTTGTCAGTTTTTATTTAATTTTAGCACGCTACTATTTTCCATCTCGGATATTCGGCGTATATCTTCGTTATCACAATAGACACGTTATAGGACCTGTGACGCCAGTTAGGTGCGCGGGTCTACACATACATACACGTATGACTTATACTATATCGTTAATATTTTGTAACAATACCGCGACCTATTTTATACCATTATTCCGATTGCCTGGAAAGATTTGTCGACGGTGTTCCAAAATCCAATATACTTAATGGAAAGTCGAATGCATGCGGTTGAATTACGAAAGGTCTCGTTTATTTCGAATCAATCGGGAATAGGACAGCCGCTCTTCCTTCTCGTCGCATAGAATCCTTTCCACGATGATAATAACAACGACACCGAGTTATCATAATAGAAATTGTCTCCCATGTACTTCATACACCTTATTTAGAATGATTTCCTTTTAATAATTGTCGACATCGTATACAGGGTGTTTGCGAAATCGTGATATAACCGGCGAGGGGATGATTCCTTACATAAAATCTAGTCGACAACAATGAATATATTTTTTTCATACGAGGCTTCATTTTCGAGAGAATCGAGTTCGTACACCCTGTATATGGACCCTTAAAAATATCGTTGCACCGTTTGAACGCAATTTGGAATTGCTTCAAATCACTATGGCGTTTAATTACACGCGTACGAGCACAGCAGATATTTCTTCCTTTCCCAGGAACGATGATAGTAATCCAGTAACGGTAGTTTCCAGTTGCAATCGCATTTACTCTTCGTATTTCCGTTAATCATCATTTAAATAATCGAATTACGCGTTCCCGCACATGCGTGACTTCGAATACTCGAGCAGCGAGCTTAATCTGTCTTGAATTTCGTTTCCCCCCCCACGCGATCCACTAGTGATTAACCAATCTTCCCTCTGCACTCTTCTATCTCCGATATCGAAATACGAGGAACAATATGAAATTTCGTACGGTTTCCTATATATTTAGTAATCATCCATTTACTACGAAATATGCTTTGTACAAATTGGTGCACACGTGACTTTTTGCCGAGCACAAATTTTCTGATACCGTTGTACGTTCCTATTACGAGATCATGCTCCATTTCCTTCTAGCAACCTCACGCAGAAAACTGTAAGAATTGTAACAATGGAACGAAGGGAGAACAAGAAAAATACAGTTTCTCCTTCTGCGAGATTTTTCCTACGAGAAATCTAGTCTTCTATATG